ATACCCCAGTGAGAGTCAGTGTGTGTGGGACTGTACCACAGTGAGAGTCACTGTGTGTGGGAGCCGTACCCCAGTGACAGTCAGTGTGTGTGGGAGCCATACCCAAGTGAGCATCAGTGTGTGTGGGACCATACCGCATTGAGAGTCAGTGTGTGTGTGACCCGTACCCCATTGAGGGTAAGTGTGTGTGGGACTGTACCCCAGTGAGAGTCAGTGTGTGTGGGCACAGTACCCCAGTAAGAGTCAGTGTGAGTGGGACTGTACCCCAGTGAGAGTCAATGTGTGTCAGACTGTACCCCAGTGAGAGTCAGTGAGTGTGGGACTGTACCCCAGTGAGAGTCAGTGTGTATTGGACTGTACCCCAGTGAGAGTCAGTGTGTGTGGGACAGTACCCCAGTGAGAGTCAGTGTGTGTGGGACAGTACCCCAGTGAGAGTCAGTGTGTGTGGCACCGTTCCCCAGTGAGAGTCAGTGTGTTTGGGACTGTACCCCAGTCAGAGGCAGTGTGTGTGGGAGCCATACTCCAGTGTCAGTCAGTGTGTGTGGGACTGTACCCCAGTGATAGTCAGTGTGTATGTGGGCTATCACCTATTGAGAGTCAGTGAGATGATCCCTGTGATTGTGTTCCTTGTGTTTTAGGGTCGACCTGGAGCTGATGGATCGAGGGGAATGCCAGGCCCACCTGGGAGAAAGGTACAGAGAAATTATCCACTAGTTACAGCATGACACTTTCTCCTCTCTTTGCTGTGTGACCGGGGCCTGTCCCTTTACACAGAGCGTTTCAGCAACTCCTGCTGACTCAAACCTATTTGTTCTGTTTACAAAGTTATTGAGCGTTCAGGTGGAACGGGTGGTTTGTAGTAACCTGTAGCCAACTGTGCAACACGTCCAGTTGTGTCTCACAGAGTGCACATGGCCAGGCAGGAAAAACTGAGACACAACCACACACCGACCGACTGCATTGTCTCTCTTAACTGTGAAAATGCTTTTAAACTGAACTGTTTTTCTTTCCCATTTGACAGGGAGACCGGGGATTTGATGGACTGCCTGGGCTTCCGGGTGAGAAGGGAAACAGAGTAAGTCCTGACATCACTTTTGCACCGGAGCTGTTGCTCACTGCTCGAGGGTCCTGCCCGAGAGTGTCTTCTTGATGATTTTCATAAATTAGCCACAAACTCCCCCAAGCCCAGGGCAGGAAACTCCAGGAGAGACAAGAGAAATCTGATTAAATATTTCTGTGCCTGCCCAGGGTGTGTAGAGGAAGCATTACGCTGTGTCTAATTCCTTGCTGTCCCTTTTCAGGAAGTGTTTAATGAGGACAGTGTAAAGGGATCTTTACTCTGTAAGAGAATCACAGAAATCCTGCAGTATGGAAGCAGGCCATTCAGTCCCTTAAGTCCACCCTGACCCTCCAAAGAACAGCCCACCCTATCCCCATAACCCTGTATTTCCATTGGAAAATCCACCTAACCTGCACATCTTTGGACTGTGGGACGAAACTGGAGCACCCGGAGGAAACCCACGCAGACACGGGGAGAATGTGCAAACTCCACACAGACAGTCACGTGAGGGTGGAATTGAACCTGGGTCCCCAGCGCTGTGAAGCAGCAGTGCTAACTGCTGAGCTACTGCGCTGTCCCAGAGTTTAACTGGGTATTTGCTCTGTCTGCTACTGTCTCTAATCCTGTGTGAAGCTGAGCCCAATGTTGCGTATTTTGTCTAATCAGCCTGTTTAAATATCTAAATCAGATGCGACTTGAATCCGGACCTCCTGTCTCAGAGGTAGAGACACTACCACCACACCCCAGGAGCTTAAGAACATAGGAAATAGGAGCAGGAGGCCATTGCCCCATCGAGCCTGCTCCACCATTCAATAAGATCACAGCTGATCTTTTCATGGACTTACCCACCCTGTCACCATAACCTTAATTCCATAAGACCATAAGACATAAGAGCAGAAATGAGGCCATTCGGTCTATCGAGTCTGCGCTGCCATTCAATCATGGCTGATAAGTTCCTCAACCATAATTCCTTTACTGTTCAAAAAATTATCTATCTTTGCCTTAAAAATATTCAACAAGGAAGCCTCAACTGCTTCACTGGGCAGGGAATTCCACAGATTCACAACCCTTTGGGTGAAGAAGTTCCTCCTCAGCTCAGTCCTAAATCTGCTCCCGCTATTTTGAGGCTATACCCCTTAGTTCTAGGTCTCACGCCTCTGGAAACAACCTCCCTGCTTCTAATCTATTCCCTTCATAATTTTATATGTTCCTGTAATACCACCCTCTCTCATTCTTCTTAATTCCAATGAGTATAGTCCTAGTCTACTCAATTTTTCCTCTTAAGGCAATGCACTCAAATCCAGAAACAACCTAGTGAACCTCCTCTGCACCCCCTCCAGTGCCAGTACATCCTTTCTCAAGTAAGGAGACCAAAACTGTACACAGTACTCCAGGTATGGCCTCACCAACACCCTATACAGCTGCACCATAACTTCTCTGTTTTTAAACTCAAACCCTCTAGCAATGAAAGACAATATACCATTTGCCTTCTTAATCACCTGCTGCACCTGCAAACCAACTTTTTGTGATTCATGCACACGGACACCCAGGTCCCTTTGCACAGCAGTATGCTGTAAGTTTTCATTATTTAAATAATATTCCATTTCGTTGTTATTCCTATCAACATGGATGACCTCACATTTACCAACGTAGTACTCCATCTGCTTGACCCTTGCGCACTCACTTAACCTGTCTCGCCTGGCTTCCTGGAGCTCAGTGCTGCGCTTATGGATTTGTGCTGTAGTATCAGTGTGTGAGCAATGTGAAAGCTCCAGTCAGTTTGATCCATCTACTTCACCAGGAAGGAGCCTGCCTGCTGTCACTCAGTGCATCTCAGCTCCTCCATTTACTTGCAGTGTCTGGTCAAACGCGAGAGCTCTATGTGTCAGGGATCACACATGGGGAGAAAGGGGATGGAGAGTTCAGGAGGAGGGCAACGTAGGCTGTCAAATCGAAAGGATCAGGCAGCATTGCAAGGCTGTGATAGGCAGGGAGACACAGGATGGAACAGACTATACAAAGATGTGCAGGTTAGGTGGTTAACCATGGTAAATGTGGGGTTACAGGGATAGGGTAGGATGCTGTTCAGATGGTCAGTGCAGATTTGATTGGCCAAATGACTTCTACCGGCACTGTAGGGATTGTATGATTCTACAAAGTGGGGAGGATGGTACAAGGAGTCTGCAGAGGGATACACATGGGTTAAGGGAGTGAGCAAAGACCTGGCAAGTGGAATATAATGGGGGAAAATTTAGCAGGAAGAATATAGGAGCTGAATATTATTTAAATGGAGAAAAGAACTACAGAAAGTTACAGAACAGACAGATTTGGAAGTCCTCGTGCATGAATCACAAAAATGCTAACAACCAAGTTCAGCTGGTAATAGGGAAGGCAAATGGAACACTGGCCTTTATTTCAAAGGGAATGGATTATAAGAGTCTGGAGGTTTTGTTAAAACTCTACAAGGTACTGGCCAGACCACAGCTGGAATACTGTGAACAATTTGGGCCTGTTAACTATGGAATGATATACTGGCATTGGAGGCAATCCAGAGAAAGTTCACCCAACTGATCTGAGGTATGGAGGGACTGTCTCATGTTTGAATAGTTTGGACCTGTGCTCATTGGTGTTTAGAAGAGTGAGAGGTGACCTTATTGAAACGTTTAAGAGCCTGAGGGGGCTTGAGAGGGGAGATGCGGAGAAGTTGTTTCGCCCTGTGGGAGAGTCCAGGACCAGAGGGGCATCATCTCTGAGTGAAGGGGTCACTCATTCAAGCAGAGATGAGGGGGGATTTCTTCTCCCAGAGGAGAGTGAATCTGTGGAATTCTTTACTACAGAGGCCTTTTAGGGCTGTGTCGTTAAGTATGTTCAAGGCTGAGAAAGATAGATTTTTAGTCAGTTGGGGGAAATCGAGTGTTATGGGGTAATGGGTGGAAAGTTGAGTTGTGGATGATCAGATCAGCCTTATGTCATTAAATGACAAAATAGACTTAATGGGCTGAATGGCCTACTGCTGCTCCTACATTTTATGGTCTGGTGGTCTTATCTCTCCTCTCTTCTTCCCTTATATTCGTCTATACCACGGCCTCCTGAACTAACATGATCCCTGTCCTGTTCACCCACTCCCTTCCTGTACTCCCTCAACTCTGTCCCTCCATCCCTCCCTCTACTCCCTTGTGTCTGTCCCTCCACTCCCTTCCCTCCTGCATTCTGTTGTTATTCTGGAAAACGGCTGGTCAGAGTCAGGGTGTGACCTCTGATCAGACTCTCATGATCCACTTCCCCTATTGGTTTCTCTTGGACCTTTCCCCATGTCATAACCTTTAAAATTAATCAATAGGTCTGTTTGAAGAAAATGGAAGAGATCACAGCAGTTCATTCTCCTGCTCCTGATATTGCTCACATCAGTGTCTGAGGGTTGTGTACGTGCTGCACATTTCAGGATAAAACAAGTACAAAATTCATACTGTTCCCTGCAGTTTCTGCCAATGCTCCAATGAATTCACAGAAAGTCAATTTCTTTCATGATTAAAATATACACTTTGAAAGGCTGGAGCTAAACTGAGCTGAGGCCGATGAGGATTGAGAGGCAACACCACCATCTAGTGGTGAAGATCTGTACAGCAAAAGATGCAACTCAACAACTACAGTTTCTGGTCTCGGTAAAATAATTCACTCTACGCTACCAGAGGAAGGATGTGATTGCACTGGAAGGGAGTGCAGAGGAGATTCACCAGGGTATTAAAAACCAAAAGAACTGCAGATGCTGTAAATCAGGAACAAAACCAAAGTTGCTGGAAAAGCTCAGCAGGTCTGGCAGCATCTGTGAAGGA